AGTTTAAGAACATTCTTAGTTTGTGTCTTCACTGAAACCATTTTTGTGCGCTCTCTCGAGTATATCCTAAACCAGGCAAGGAGAGTAGTAATTGTGCTATTAGAAGCTCCTTCCTTCTGAGGGCCAAAGTGAAATGCCTCTTCCCTCCTGGACACCCCAAAGAGAACATAGAATCTTCAGTTGGGGTTGTCTTCAAAACAAGCCAAAGACTGAAGATGTGTGTCCTTGTTGCAGAAAAGAGATTGGCTGCTGTTGGCCAGAGGGGAACCCCAGATCCCCAGACACAACCAGAATGCCCCTGCCAGCAGCTTCTATGTGATCACACCATCTCAGTCTCTCACACTGCTGGTGAAATTGGTGGCCACGAGGGAACTGATGCTGCCTGGGTTCTTCCCCCTGCTATCTGAGGACCCACCTGAAGACAGCCTGAAGATCATAGAGGCAAGTAGAGCCTACGGGTTAATGTTCTCTTGCTGCGAAGAGACACCCAACCAAGGCAATTCTTATAAAAGAAAGCGTTCAACTAGGGGCTTGCTTACAGTTTCAGAGGCTTAGTCCATTATCAATATGGTGGGGAACATGGTGGCACACATGACACTGGAGCAGTGGCTGAGAGCTACATCCTAATCCTCAAGCAGAGAGACACCGGTCCTGATGTGGGCTTCTGAGACCCCAAAGTCCATTTCCAGTGGCATGCCTCCTCCAACAAGACCACATCTCCTAATCTTTCCAAAGTATTCACCAACTGGGAACTAAGCATGCAAATATATGAGCCTAAGGTTGTCGATCTCATTTAAGCCACCACACCATGGGACAAATAGAATGGAACTTGAGCAAGGGGAGAGGGAGAGAAATAGGGCCGGCCATAAAGGAACAGATGGGGCGCAGACCGGGTTTGTTATGGCCGTTAGAAATAGAAGCAAAGACAGGATATACAGAGGGAGGAAGTCACTGGTCTGATTAAGGCAGCAAGGTGAAAATTAATTGAGAAGCAAGCAAGCCTGATTTGAGGGAAATAAGGTTTGTGAAGAGACAGCTGAGAGAGAAATGGGCCTTGACATAGGCAAAGAATTGGGAATTAGTGCCATTCATCTTAGAGAATATCCCACAGACATGGAGACATGGATAAGCATATGCAGGAATAAACATAGATATACCCCTGAAATCTGATTTAAATGAGAGCCAACAAGCAACTAGCTATGAAGGGAAAAGGGCAATTATCCCAGAAGGGAAAGGTGACAGCAGACAGGAAAGGACGTCCAGACGGGCAGTCCAGGTCCAGGTGTTGAATTTGATTTGTTTACCTTGGAGGGCCCTTTACAAAAGCCAGCCATCAGGGCCCTCCTCTCCTCTGCACGTCTGCCTTAGAGAGGAGACCATGAGGTCTCACAGAGGACAGGAGTACAATAGGCAGGAAGGGATCAAAGGAGACAGTGGGAGTCATCGGAACAAAGAAACGATGGCCAACAAGGGAGATGCCCAATGGGAAGATGTGGGTGGATTTTCGTGTCTTCAAGTGTTCCTTATGGTGTTCTAGGATGTGTGTGCCAAGCCTGTGGACAGATGGCAGCATGTCTGTGGCTCCACCTGTGCACCTGTGTGACACTATTTTCCTGTGATAGATATATATAGGCTTGTGCACTAGCCTCTGCTGGGTAAAATCAGTAAAAAGTCTCAAACTCAGATGCAAAGAAGCCAACAGGCCAGGAGACAGCCTTCTTCAGTACCCCTTACCCCGCTTCTCCCTCTTTGCCCTCCCTCCCTCCCCTCCTCCCATGTTTAGATTCTGTCTTTCCTCCCCTGGGCCCCCAGGTTGGGGTGGGAGGGGAGGCTCTGGACAGGGAGAATGGGAACCACATTCACTGCTGGCTGGCGGGCTGAGGAGCAAAAAGGACAGAACTGGGGATTGTGCTTGCTGCTTGGCATCCATGGTAATGCAAAGAGGAGGGCAGGAGTGCCATGGCTCCCTCAGCGGGTCTCACTTCAGGGCCAGTGGTTCCTGGCACAGGATGTTGTGGCCGGAAAACCTAACTACTCAGGAATGCTGTGAGCCAATGTCCTCCTTCTGTGCCCCCACTCACCTCAGGCTGGGAACTCCCTGTTCTTGTACTGGGGGCTGGAGCACCCCTACCTACATGTAACCAGAAGACACAGCCTCCCTCAGGCTCCACACTGGACCCCTTGTACCTCTCGGAGAGTTCTGGTTTCTCTCAGTACCCAGTGACACTTGCTGGGGCTAGTATTAGGGACTTCAGAGTCTCTAACCATCAGGCATCGCATCTATTTTTATTCCTTCTCCTGACACAAGCACACCCTCCTGGGGCGGAACACCAGCCGGACTCATCATCCAGCTCATCCTCAACCTCAACCGAAGTCCGGGGTCCTCCCCCTCCCCCAGCCTCTCACATGCTCATGTCTCCACAGGACACCTCCTGTTCAATGACCTTGAGTTCTCTGAATAAAGTGCCTCCTCTCCTCCTCAGAGCACACTAGACAGCCTGGAGCTGGGGCCCACCTACAACCCCTTGCAAGTTGGGAGCCACCTGTACTCACATCTGAGTAGCACCCATGCCAAGCCTCAGGGACGCCTCTACACCAGCTGGGAGAGCCGGGGCTTTAGAAAGGTACCTCTCCCTTATTCCTCCACCCTTCCCTTCCCTCAGGCCTCCCATCCCCTTTGTGCCTGAGTCCAAGGGAGCCCTTCATCTCCACCCTGCAACAGCACTGGAACAAAGAGAGTAGCCTACCCTCTGCACCCCCACAGCTGGAGGAGTAAACCAAGCTAAGGAAGGAGCTGAGGTGGGGGAGAAGTGGGGTGCCGGTCAGTAGGCTTTGGTTCTGTTTTGTTTTCCTGAGACTGGGCTCATGATGTAGCAGTCTAGCCCAGACTGATCTTGAGCTTGCCTGCCTCAGCCTCCTGAGGGAGGGGGAGTATGGCTCATGCCATCACACCTGTGGCTTAGGTGTGGTGTTTATAACTCTTAGTCATCTACTAGCAGTCTTGTTAAGCAAACAGGCCACACTGGAACTACAACCGCAGCCCCATCTTTGACAAAAAGGGCTGACAGGGAGGTGGGACTAGAACTGCCTAAGGGAAGGGAAAGGAATGCTTCTAGAGCACCAGGCCCGGGGGCCAGGCTTTCTAACAAGAGCTTTGGATCTGCTCAGTCTTCCAGCACCAGCAAGGGAAGTGCAACACAGAGTACAGGTGAGGAGACAGACCTGGACTAGTACCTCAGAATGGCTCTGGAGAAAAGGCTTGAAACCAGAAGCCAAGCATGGTGGCTCACACCTGTAATCCCAGCACTCAGGAAGCTAAGTCAGGAGGATTGCTGTACATTTGAGGCCAACCTAGGCTACAGTGAGACCTGTCAGAAAAGAAGGGCGAGAGCGATCAGAAGGGAAACTGAAGATGAAGTGCTTCGAGGAGGCCTGTGGTCTATTGTATTAGGGTTTCCTCTTGCTCGGTAGTTTTTCCTGCTTTCTCTGTAACTGAGAATTTGGGAAAACTTTCATTTTTGTCTCAGCTAAAATTGCAGAAGGATATTTCTAAACTCCAGAAGTAGAAGCAATGACCAGATGAATAGGAGCAGAGCCCACCAAGAGGGCTCAGTAGGCAAGCTGACAGAGAAGGGACCCTGGGCAAGGAGATGATCCTGCAGAGGCTGCAGTCTAGGGGACTTCAACCACTACCCTGGGCCTTCAGGATGTCACTCCAGGACTGAGATCTGGGAAGAAATTAGGACCAGAGTCCAGCAGGGAGCAGTGACAGGAACTTGGGAACTGTCTTGTCTTCATAGAAAACACTGATTGTTCTTTGCAGGCTGGACAGTCTCAGAGCAACAGAGTTCGAGCCACAGTGGTTCCCCTGCCAATGGCTCCAGCCCCAGGTAGAGCTCCCAAGACATCAGCAGCCACCAAAGCTTCCTCAGGAACCTTCCTGCCCTCTGATTCAGAGGAAGAGTATCCTTCTTAGACCTAAGTGCCCAGCGCCAGGACACAGCCATACCACAAAGATGGCTGCCTGAGAGCAATCTGCCTGCGTTCAACCTGAGCCTGTGAACTCGGGCTAAGAGACAGCCTCTCCCGCCTCTGTCCCCAGTCCTGCCATTGCCCAACTCAGGGCTGGAAGCAACACACCCAGGCCTGTCTTTTGTCCAGCAGGGACTCTCTTTCTCTTCTGGATCATTTGATAGTGTTGACACAAATAATTAAATACCCAGTAAGCCTCTACCATTGTTAGGAACATTCCTAGGCCAGAATTTCTTCCTGCAACTCTGTGTAAGAAGGTGGATGAGGTCAGGTCACCCTTGGGAAACTGCAACTCCAGAATTTCGATGAGGTTTTCACAGCTCAAGAAAAATCAAGACATTAGAGCCTGAACCCTGGTCCAGAAGATTCCCTTCCCAGACCACCCACAGAGGTTCCCTTCAGCTTCAGACACTAGGTACCTGTGAGCAAGCGTGTGTGTGTGTGTGTGTGTGTGTGTGTGTGTGTGTGTGTGTGTGTGTGTGTGTTGAGAGGCAGGGTGCTGTTGTGTTGCCCAGCAGAAGGGAGTAGACATTGTGAAGGAAGCCTACTCCCTACCTCATCTCCTCTCCCCACACTTGCCTACCTTCTTGTCAGCTGCTTTGAACTACAGGAAAGTAGCTGCCATTTATAAAGTTCCTTCCCTATGCTTTAGATGACACTAAGTGCTTGGAAATGTATCCATTTCAAAGCCAGCAACCTTTTGAAGCTGAGCCAGATTCTCACCCTTGGTGGAAGGATAGGGGAGGAAAGTTAAGGACTGCAGATGGCAGACAGCTGACCCAGGGTCACAGAGCTATAGACCTTCCCAGGTGAGCCTGTGACCACCCAGGCCCTGAGCCACCACACTGTAGACTTTCCTCTCTGGGGCCCTTTCCTCCTTCCTTGGTCCCCAACATATCTCTGGTTTTTCTTTTGATCCCCTCACGCCCTCCCAGGACATGCCGCCACTGTGTCTATTCACACACAGAGACTTTTTCAAACCAAACTGGCTTTAATGAAATTTGTCTTATAAATTAAAAATACATCTAGCAAAGAACAATACAAAAGTAAGGAGCCACACTGGCCTCCCCAAAGTGCCTCCACTCTGACTAGTAGGCCCCTTCCATAGGTCTAGTCCCAGAGCCTATATCACTCAGTTCTCGAGCTGGTCATCCCTTGATGCCTCTGGTCCCCTAGTCTTAACCTAGGCACCTCCCACCCTCTGGTTCCTGCTGGTTATAACAGATTTGATTGTCAATGCCACGGCCCCATGAAACTATCAGCAACTGTCTCAGGTGGAGCCCTCTGACTTGACTCCTGTCCTGTCATTCCCTACTCTAGAAAACCCACAGTCCCAACCCCCTGACGTCCCACTCTTCTGGACCTGGCTGTACAGAGCCATATCTGAGCTGTGGTCTTTGCTGCCACTGCCTCCTGTGGTACCAGGTTCAGGAAGGACCAAGCCCTGCGGCTTGGGAGCAGGGACAGGCTTGGAGTTTCGCGGAGGTGGCACAGCATAGTCATCTGTAGCAGGGTTGTATGGGAGCTCATAGCCCTCCTCCTTCAGCCGAGCCTGGCACCACCATGCATCCTTAGGTTCCTGCGGCAGATCATAAAGGCCCCGGGGAGGGGCTGGGGCCAGGCCCTCGGGTTCATCATAGATGGGGTCCTCTTTGGAGTCTGTCAGCTTGGCTTTCAGCAACCGCTGCTGCACGTGCCCATACAAGTCCCAATAGAGAGGTTTCTTCGAATGCATCCCCTCCCCTGCCCTAGCAGGGGTGCTACCCAGAGGGTCTGAGTACAGAGAGTCCTGAGAAGGGCCTGGGGGAATTCGCAAGGAGTCTAAAGGCTCAGCATATAGGGCTGGGGGGCTGTCCAGGGGCTCCTGAGGAGCAGGAGGGGAAGTCACCTTCACCTCTGCCTCCCCTTCATGGGACTCAGTTCTGAGGATATCTTGTGCCTGTCCCACCTTTCCCTGGGCTTTCTGCTTCTGGATGGCAGCCTCAACTGCCTGAAAGATGTCATTTCCCTGTGTAGTCTGGAAAGTGAAGGTTCCGGCGCCTGAGGGGCAGCGGCGACCAGCTTCAAAAGAGAACATTACCTGAGGGTGTGGAGGGAAACATGTTAGGAGTGTCATAAAAGATGAGTCACAGATCTTACCAAGTTAGTGTATCTGAGGAGAAGAGACCACCTGGGAATGGAATTGATCATCTACAGCTAGCCAACCCGAAGTCCTCCCTGACAGTCATCCTCCCAGACAGCCCCTGCACCTTGTCCCGGCCATAGCGTCGCAACAGAGTGTAGGGCCAGAAAAGGAGTGGCTCCAGGATTTGACTCTGGGTCCCCAAAGTCAGGAGGGTCAGCTTCTCAGCCTCCACCCTCAGTATATAGGAGCCTTGCAGGCCACAGCGTTCAGAAGCCTCAGTCTTCTGCGTGGTTACCCAGAACTGGGAGCCTGGAAGGAACACACAGAAAGGGGAAGGAGCGCTGGGGCAGGTTAGGGACTTGGTAGCCTCCAATCGCTAGCTCCCAAGACCACGTCTTCTCCCCACTCCATTCATGCCAGGCAGCTACCTTCCCAGGTGGGGCTATACAGGGAATTCTCCAGCATCTCCAAGGCAGAAAACTTAGGCGGGTTCTCCGTCTGCGCCAAAGCCCAGCCGCCTTTCTGCAGGAAAAGGAACACATATATATATATATATAAAAAGCCAAGCTGACAGACTCCAAATATATATATATATTTCCCTTGGGTCTGGAGTAGGTGCAGGAGGTCCAGTGCCGCTCTAATAAGCCCCATTCTCGTAATGCTCCTTAGGCCCAGGGCCGCTCACCCCCAACCCCTCACCGGAAAAGCGTTTCTGCATAAACTCTGCACCCAGGCGGCGCTGGACGGGGCGTCCGCCGCCAGCAGGTGCGAGCGCTGCGCGGTGTCCAGGCGGAAGGCAGTGGCGCCGGGTTCGGGGGGACTCTCCACTGACACAGGGGCCACGCTCACACACTCAGCCAAGCGGATCATCTTGCAGTCCAGACGGCGAGAGCCGCCTCGACCCCCTCCAGAGCCCTTGTGGTCAAAGAACTCCAGACGCGCTACGCCGTGAGGACTAGCTGGGTAGAGCACAGCCCAGGTTTTCCTCCACCTCTGGGGGAAAAAATGAAAGACGCGGGAGTTCGCGGCAGCACGCCCCCACGGGGAAGGAGAAACACACGCAGGCCGATCTGAGTCTGGGGCTTCCCAGGCAGGGACACTTTCCCAAAGATAATGCCATCATCCCAACTCCTCCCCAAGAAGGGCACAGCGTGGGGCTTCAAGGGAACTTCATGGGGCTCTGCAATTGCCGGAGCAGCGTCCCGACCTGCTTCCGGCCCCTTTCCTCTTTCTGGCTGCTTTCACCCACTTCTAGTCCGGAGGGGTTTCGCCATCCCCCACGCCGCACACAAACCCACTCACACTACCTTGGTCCCGAAGCGCTGACTCTGTAGAAAGAGCGGACCCTCCATCACAGCCCCGTCCATGGCCCCGGCGGTTCCTTCCCAGCTTCCTGGCCCCGAGGGCGGGGGGCGGGGCGGGGCGGGGCTGCAGGGTGCCGGAGGCGTGCCCGCCCCTCCTGGGCCCCTGCGGCAACGATGGGGGATGGAGGAAGAGGAGCCAGCAGGAAGAAGTCGGGGTACCCAGATAAGCCGACTGGGGCCTTTTATCCTACCGTTCGTTCGCACAGTGGTGCCACTCAGGGAAGCCGTGATTGTCAACTAGAAGGCCCTGGTGCCTGGGAGGTGGGGGGCTGAGAGTGGCGTCATATGCTTAGCGTGACATCAGAGTGAAGGCCGTGACGTCTCCCGCAGGCACCCCGGGGGCACTACAACCACCAAGGGGGGTCCTCGGGACATTAATTCCTCTTGTGGGACCTGCTCCCATGGCCCAATCCTGGAGTTGAACTGGACTGTTGATACTCTGCCTAACTAGGGACTTGGAGGAACAACTAGAGGCTGGGAA